ACATTAGTGAGTTAAAACCAGGCTCTGAGGGGAAACAATGAGTAACGGCCGTCATTGCGGGGGCACACTGTACGGGTGTTTCGTAAGAAAGGGAGAGGACGATACGGAGTATCGATGCAGTGCCTCCCACACACACGTACTTGGAACGAGAGCGCCAGGAGCGCGAGAAGCGGGTCAGTGGAGGGTACATAAGGGGCGATCACCGTTACCGGGTCACCAACACCAGCGCAAGAGAAAAGCTTTCACCGGTAACGGGACCCCGATGGAAGAAAGGTGGGAGAGGACGAAAACCGAGGTATCGTCGGAGGCGACGGATAGAGGTTCAGTCTTTCCAACCTTTTTCGCCAAGATGTCCGGACGTGTTCACCACCGCCAGCTACAGCAGCAGCAGCCGCAGCAGCATCAGCAGCAGCCGCAGCAGCATCAGCAGCAGCATCAGCAGCAGCCGCAGCAGTCGCAGCAGCATCAACAGCAGCCGAAGCAACAACAACAGCAGCCGCAGCAGCAACAACGGCGGCAGCGACAGCAGCAGCAGCCGCAGCCGCGCAAGCGCAAGGTCGGCGCGGAAGGCCGCGGCCGACGGCAACATCCAGGGGCGAAATGGAGGCGTCGGTGCTCGTCGTCGGCACTCCAGCTTCTGGCGTCGCCGTTAGTGTCGCGGTCCCCGTCGCCGGCCTGGCGCGAGGTGTCGGAGAGGGAGATGTCCTCCGACGAGGAGGTCGACGGCGGCCCCACCGGCGAGATGGAGACGGTGGAGTTGTCGTCGACGGAAGAGGAGAGCGACGGAGGTGAGACGGTGACCCCCGTGGTCTCCTCTGATGAGGAGGGCACCCGGAGGGCCAACCAGGCCCGGAGGGGTTACCGTCAGGTAAGGCGGGTGGTGGATGACGAGGGGTATATCCCGTTCGGGTCGGCGGCCACGTCGGAGAGGCCGGAGAATGAGGAGGTCATCGAGGCCCGCCGACGAGCGACGATCGACAGGTTGGTGGAGCGGCAGGTGGAGTGGATGGCTGCCGTGAGGGAATGGAGGAGAAGACTGCAGCAAGCGGAGGACAAGGAGGCCGCGTTGTGGACACCGGCACCTCCGCCGGCAGCGCCCTCGCAGCCGCCGTTGCCACCCACATCGCCACCGAGGACGCCGCCACCACCACCGCCGCCGAGGACGCCGACGCCACCACCACCGCCGCCACCAAGGACACCAACGCAACCACCACCGCCGCCGTCGATGAAAAGGCCACGGCCGAGGACGCCAACACCACCGCCGCCGAGGAGGCAGACACCACCACCACCACCACCGCCGAGGAAGAGGACGCCGCCGCCGCCGCCAAGGACGCCCACGCCGCCGAGGAGGCCGACGCCACCGTCGCAGCCACCGCTGCCGCTCGCGTCGCCACCGAGGACGCCGCCGCCACCACCGCCGCCACCACCGCCGCCACGTCCACGGCTGCAGAGGCAGTCATCGTGCCCGGGATACCAGCAGGAGTCATTGTGGGCATTTGGGATAGGGCAGGATGACACCACGAACACGTACGAATATATTTCGGTGGAGTCACAAACCGCACACGCGAAATCACAAAAATCAAAATATAAATCACATAAAAAAATATATAAATAATAGTAATCCAGCGGCGGCTGCATCAGGTCCAGCGAAGACAGGTGGAGGCGGGCGATTTGCAGATAAGCTGGAAACAAAAGGAGTAAAGGTTAGGCATGTACGCAAAAGGTACGCAAAAAGAATCTCACCTGTGGCAATGCCGTCACGGCCAGCCTGTGGTATGCCACAGAACGAGGGGCCGCGGGGAAGGAGTGGACGTCCGACTGAGGGCGGTCCAGCAACATACACGGAGTGGGTTCGACGTGCAGCGTGAGTCCCCCTGGAGCCAGCCGGAGTCTCTGGAGGGCAGACGGTGAGTTGTTACACGAGTTAGCAAAAGATATTTAAACTCAAAACTTACCTGGGAGTCCACGGCCAAATTCGGACGGCCAGCCAGAGCGGGGAGCCGCGGCGAGGGGGAAGGGAAAGGGGTGGGTAGACGGCCGGGCATATTGGCCTGCCGGGACGCGCTAGGTCAGGGTCGGCGCCCCGGCGCATACATCGTTGGAAGGATTCCGCGGCTCGACCCGGCTTGGAGTGGCCTAAAAAAAGGAACATTTAAGTGGTAAAAATCAAGAAATTAACATCAAAACACTTACCATAACAAAACCACGAGGCCGGCGAACTATTGGGAATGGGGTCGCCACGATAACGGCGGTCGATCGATAGTGCGATCGATGGGAGCAAAGAAAAAATGGAAACATCGCTGGCCGGTCACACTGGTTATGACTGCAGCCCTGAGGAGTGGCAACGCCACGATCGATAGACGAGTTATCGATTGTGCGCGGGGAAAAACTACGCGGGAAACGGTTCGAATTCGAACGAGGATCGGAAGGAGTCGCGCGCTGGGAGTTTTCGACAGTCAAGATGCCCTGGTCAAAAAGCCCAACGACGGGAAGTCTACATAAGCTGAGACTTAGGTGCTGAGATTGGAGGAGCTCTCAGCCGTGGCAGGAGGAGGTCGACGAGGGAGTGGCAGCGGCCACAAGGATCGAGGATGGACGTGTGCGCAAGGAGCCGTGGGGGTCAAGATGCCAAAGTCGAGATGCTGAACGACCAGGTAGGGTCAAATAGGCTGAGGCTGTCCGGCTGAGATCCAAGAGGCCCTTGGCCGCACTCAGGAGTTGGAGGTCGACGTGGGACGGAGGCGATTCGAGGACGTTTTCCCCAGGAAATTCCGGAGCCCGAAGCTTTCAAAAGTTTCCGAAGGAAGGGGGAGATGTAAGGAGTTGTAAATCTCCTTACAATTTCGAGTGCAGGAGAGCTGCATAGCAACAGCGGGATGCGCTGTGTGCGATGGTTAAAAAAGGGAAATAACGGCTCCAAGGACTTTGGACTCGATGCTGCGGTGAGTCTGCAGACTTTGGACCCAACAACAGCAAGTCTGCGGACTTCGGACCCGCGCAAAGAGGAGAGACCGTGAATTAACGGTACCGCGGCGGACTTTGTACCCGTTATAACGGTGAAGTCCTGGACTTTGCACCCGTATAACGGTGAAATCGGCGGACTTTGGACCAGCACAAAAGGGAATGACCGTGAACTAACGGGACTGGTCCTGCACTTTGGACCCGATCACGCCACTTGTCCTGCACTTTGGACCCAATCACGCCACCGAAGGAGGGAAATAACGGGACCAGGGTGGCGTATAAAAGGAGGACGCGTGCAGGAAGCGGGACAGTCAAGTGAAAGTCGTGCAAGAGACCGTACCAACGCGAGTGAAAGCCCAAGTGAACAACAAGTGCCAGGATACCAGGAATCAAGATCGCCGAGTCGAGAAGCCCAACGACGGTCACGTCTACATAAGCTGAGACTGCCAAGCTGAGATCCCGAGGGTACAAGGTAAGTTGTAGGGTGCGTCTACGAGTCTCGAAAACGACGGTATTGGTGGAGTCCGAGTAAGTGGATGTTGTGCGAAAGGTACCCAGCGTCGGTTCGCATGAGATATTGAGAACCTGCTGAGGGCCAGCTGACGAAGATCCAGTGGATGTTGTGCGAAAGGTACCCGGCGTCGGTTTCTCATGAGAGATTGAGGACCTGCTGAGGGCCAGCTGACGAAAATCCCGACCGACTTCAGGGTAGAGCGTGGAGTGTTGACTGCAGCAGCGCTGCTTAGCCCTCCAGTAAGGTTTTCTGCTCAATATCCGCCAAGTTGTGAGAGACTCGTAGCGAGCCTAGTACGCGACCGGTGCCCGAAAGACTCGGCATGGCAGAGGACGCGCGACAGGCGTGCCGCCGCAGGAGTCGACGCGGGAGCCATTACCGGCGTCAACGAGGGAGATCGAGTCGTCAGACAGCAGAACCACGAATACGTTATTGTAAAGCCACAAGCAATAAACCCAACACATATTCTAAATCTAACCTAACTCTGTGTTCTTCTTTGGTCTCGGGGTCACGCAACAATAAATTTGGTGGGACGAACACACAAACTCAACTGAGCTAGCCGCACGTTTACGTAGCGAGCGGAGACATAAAAAGCAGTTCGTTACATCATTTAACTTGGTTCGCTTTCCTTTTACTCCTAGGCCAAAGCCTTGGTGTATTAGGGACCCGTCCGTATACCACGCTATGATGTGACTCGCCATGGAATGCACATCCTTCATGGTGGTCCATTCTTTCTTGTTGCTCAGATGAGCGGAGAAATTCTTTTGGAAAATGAATTCTACTGTCGCTGCTTGTGTGCTTAGTTTTCTTTTAATTTGCACGTACCGATCGATTCCTGTTTGAATTAACGATCCGTTAACATTTTTGGTATTTTTGGGTTGGGTATTGACTAGCTTGTCAGTAAGGGCTGACGAACCTGTTCCTTGAAAACTAGTGAGATGTTCAAGAGGGGGCTTAGCTTAGGCCACCAGGCGGTGGCCTATCCGCAGGTTGCGGATAGCGAACGGCCTTTATAAGGTTAGTTGCGAATAGGCGCAAGCTAATAAGCAACCCCGGTCAACAGCGGGTACACCGAAGTCGGTGTACTGACGAGACGCTTGTCTGGCCGTCTTCATATTATAGCCTCACACACCCCCTTTCCTCACCTACCAACTTCCCTTCCACAGTCTCACTCCGGTGCCGGACTAAGGTGTCAAACGACCCGAGCCAATAGTCAGCCTGGCTGGGGGCCCGGATCAACAACTATCCCAGTCTCTCACGGAGGGTTCAGGCAAGTGGCGACCGCCTGTCCTAATTATGCCTTACCCGGGTATGGCGGATCTCTGCCCGGGCGGACCTTACATTCTCCGCAACTTGTGGGAGTAGAATATGAAGAAGCATACGAAAAATAAATTACCGCAGGACATCCTTGCCTCGAGTGTCGCAAGGCATTTCGAAAACCAACTCCTCGACGGAGAGCAACACCAGGTGGGACCATCCCCACCCAGTAGCGCAGCCACCGCCAGGAGTGCGTCACGGACGCAGAATGTGGGACATCCCCCACAATGGTCAACTGTCCCAGTCCGGGAACGTGCGCGACCAGCAGGATCATCCCGGCTGGTCCAAGGTCAAGTGGTACCTCAGGTACCTCCAGCAAGGCATGACCCTTGACGAGGCACTGAGGAAGGCAAAGGGAGGCACGGCCAGCGGCCCACCTGCCAGTAAGCGGGGAAACAGCACCCTCACCCCTCCGACGGACACCCCAAAGAGGTCGAAGTCAGAGGGCAATAAAGAGGCAAAGGCACCTCCCTCCCGCCCAAGGCCTGAGGAGCCCTGCACCTCCAAGCAGCTACTGGCACACTCAGCATGCCGAAGGTGGGTGAAAGGAGTGAATACAGCCACCCTCCACCTCCAAAGCCCCTCTCACTGGCACACACACCTCCTATGCGGAGGCCACCAAGAGAGTCCGAGTGGCGGTGTTACCTGAGGAATACCCACAGGTGCACCTGAGCCACGAAGAGCTGTCCGAGTTGGAGGAGGCCATCATGGACGACGTGGTCATGTCGGCATGGGATACGGCAGTCGCATTTAGAGCTATCCACTTCAGGGTCGGATATCTCCTTATCGAGTGCCTGGACCAGGACTCCGCGGACTGGCTGAGGGCCTTTGTGCCTCAGTTAAGAACGTGGAAGGGCTTGCCCCTAGGAACTAGGGTAGGAGAGGACATCCCAGCGGTATTCAATGTTACGGTCTTCTGCCCCAGAAGCGCGGAGAGAAGTAATGAGGAACTTCTCATGATGTTTGGGCGCCAGAACAAGCTGAAGACGGACGCCTGGAAAGTGATCTCCCGGAAGAACGATGGAGGCGGGGCACTCCTAGTTATCGGGATTGACCAGCTCACCCGAGACGAAATCGTCTCTAAGGGGCACCAGCTGGACTTTAGATTCGGCACCGTCTCGGTGAGCGATCTAAGAAGAGCGGAAAAGAAGGCTGCGGCAAACGAAGCGCCCTCTGGCCCCACAGTTGGCAAAGAGGTGGTCGAGGATTCCCTCGTCCTCACCGACGGGAGGAGTGAGGATGAGGAACATCTCATGCCCTTCCAGGGCACTGCCCAGGATCCCTCCCTAGATGCCAGCTGTGGCCGTCGTCACACTGACGGAAGGCAGTGAAGGGGAATGTCCGCCCCATTCACCAACTTTGGAGCATCCGCTCCAATGATGGCTGCAAACATCAGCAGAAAGCTAGCCCAGGTGAACTTACACCGGACCAAGGCGGCATCAGCCGTTCTGGCCAGGCTGTTCACCACTCAACATCTCGGGCTAGCTTTTGCCCTTTTGGCAGCTGGAAAGCAGAAAGAGACGCCCCATGGTGAAACGGCTCCGCATCTCCACCCGCCTGACGCTCTACAACAAAGAGATCAGGAAGGCCAAACGGAAGAACCATAGAGATTTCTGTGAGGCAATCAGCACTACCCATGAAGGGGCCAGATTGCACAAGGCTGCACCAGAAAGTAACCTAGCCTTGAGGAAATGTAGTAACACCTACACTTCCGACGACAGGGATACACTAACTTTCCTCTTTGATACACACTTCCCTGGGAGCTCACCGCTGGAGGAAGATACGTCCACCCCAATGGAAGCAATATCCACTCCGAGACACCTCAGACCAAGCGCAGAGGACTGGGCAATTGTCAAGTCTCTAGTATCTCCGGAGAGACTTAAATGGGCAATTTGGACCTTTAAACCATTTAAGTCACTTGGTTTGGATGGTATCTCGCCATCATTCCTGCAGCAGGGACTGGCTTTACTCCTAATCCGCTTAAGGAGACTGATACTGAGCAGCCTAGTAATTGGACACATCCCAAATGCGTGGTGTAGAGCTAGGGTGGTCTTCAACCCCAAAGCAGGGAAGAAAGACATCACCAACCTAAAGTCCTTCAGACCTATCAGCTTAACTTCGTTTTGCCTTAAAACGTTGGAAAAGCTGGTAGACTACCATATTAGGAGCACAGTTCTTAAGGACTGTCCGCTGCAACCCACGCAGCACGCATACAGGTCAGGTCGTTCAAAAGACACTGCACTGTAACAACTTTGTCACACTCTTGAAGGGGCAGTGGACAACAAAGAAGTTGAAATCTGCGCCTTTCTGGATATAGAGGGAGCCTTTGACAATGCGTCGCATGATGCTGTCTTAGCGGCCCTCGCCCGAAGGAATATAGACCCGACAACAAGAAGGTGGATTGGAGCCTTGTTAAGCTCCAGGCAGGCAATGGCGACCATTGGCAACAGCACAATGACCGTTGCCACAAGCAGAGGATGTCCGCAAGGTGGAGTTTTGTCTCCTTTACTGTGGAGCCTACTAGTAGATGAACTACTAAAGAAACTCGCCGATAAATTGAAGAAACGCTTTGCGATATTGTCCAACTCGGACTCAAGATAACGCTTGACTGGTGCAGGGAAGTTGGGCTTAACCTAAACCCCGCAAAGACAGTCATTGTTCCTTTCACTAGGAAGTTTAAGCTACAGAAAATGAGACAAATCAGGTACCTACTTCCGTAGCAATAAGCCGGGAAGTTAAGTACCTCGGAGGTACCTTCGACAGGAGACTAACGTTTGCAACCCACATGCAAAAGACAGTGGACAAGTGCCTCAGGGCTGTCTTCACCTATCGGAAAATCGCAGGGAAATCTTGGGGGACCTCATCCCAAATCATCAGATGGCTATACCATATAATTTTGAGGCCAATACTAGTGGTTCAGCAGCCTGGGGTAAAAGAGCTAGGCTCATTACCGCACAGAAACAGCTAAAAAGGCTGCAGAGATTAGCGTGCATATGTATGACAGGTGCAATGAGGACCTGCCCCTCTGCGGCACTGGAAGTTCTCATGGAACTCACTCCGCTCCACTGCGTAGTAGAGTTACAGCGGAAAGCCACCCTACTAAGAATCACTTCTTGTGGTAATGGCAGTGACCGCATCCTCCGTCCACGAAATGACAGTAGAATTCATCTTTGAAAAGAATTTCTCTGCTTATCTGAGCAACAAGAAAGAATGGACCACAATGAAGGAAGTACACTCCATGACGAGTCACACCATAGCGTGGTATACGGACGGGTTCCTAACACACCAAGGCACTGGGCTTGGAGTAATAGGACCATGAATCAAGTACCATGAATCGTTGGGCCAATACACCAGCATATTCCAAGCTGAGGTGTGTGCCATTGGACGGTGTGCAGAGCTCAATATGAAGCTCCTCTCGGACAGTCAAGCGGCAATTACTGCACTCTGTAGTAATAGAATCACCTCGAAGCTGGTTCGAGAAGTAAGAACAAAATTAAACCTTCTGGGCAGCAACAACATGCTGACACTAAGATGGATCCTAGGACATAAAAACTAGGGGTGGAACGCCCTCTTTTTGAACCCGAGCCTTATTGGACCATAGGCAGACACACAATCAAAGATTATCTAAGAACAGAGGAGGTGTATATGAGGCAAGCTTACTGGGGAGAACACCACAGGTGTTCCAAAATCCTCAAGGTCAATTATGACATAAAGAAGTTTAAGAAACTTATACCACCAGGGAAGAATTCACTCAGGGTAATTACCGGATTACTAACCGGACATTGTAGACCAAGATGTCACCTATGTAATATAGGTATTGCAAACAGCAGGACATGCAGATTCTGTAATGGCGAGGATGAAACCTCCCTACACATAATATCAGATTGCCCAGCACTAAGTAGCCTGAAAAGTAGAACCCTTGGGTCCGGGTTCCTCACACTTGGGACCTCTTTAAGCATCGACCCAACAAAGCTCCTTGACTTTGTCGGAGGAACCGGGTTGATGGGTGAGCTTTAAGCTCAGATAGGGGGTACAATAGATCCAGTTGGGTCAAGGGTGCTCTCTCCGTACTCATTTTTAGTGTTGCAGTTGTTGTCGGTTCTAACCCTTCTGCTCTTATGAAGAAGTAAGCGTTGTTTCTAATTGACGATGTGACGATCCAACCTGACGGCCAGATCGTCACAACCAGCAGAGAAACACACCGATGCGACAGGTTACCATTATTACTATTATTATTATTATCCTATTGTTATCATTATTATTATACCAAGAGAAGTCAGACGTGAGTTATTATTTATGAAGAAACCCTGAAGCCGGCGGCAAAAAGCCAAATATATTTAATTATACTAAAGCTGAACATATTTAGGAATAGAATATTAAGTGAGGTCATAAACCCCGCCCACGGTATCGATCCTGGATAAAAATACTAGAAAGTCCAGGGAGATACCAGATAAGCTTAGCGTAGGCGAGGGAGAAAAGTATGCGGGCACACGAAGGGAAGATCTCCTCCACTTGGACTTGGGCACGAGAGAGAACGGACGCGAGGATCGGCAGCTCTTGCCGGGCAGCGATGGAAAAGTAGAGTAAAGTTGCGAACGGACGTGCGCGGGCGGCAAGAATCCGGTGCGTAAAAGTAGAGGCAGTCGGTGTAAAAAAGGAAAAGTGGCGAGCGGACGTGCGCGGGCGACAGGGACCCGGTACGGGAAAGTGAGAACACAGAGAAAGAGGAACACGTGGGATCTCGAAGACAGGTTAGAAAGAACACACTGTAATCGGTGCAGTGTAGATATTAATAAAAATAAAGTTTAAAAGCGAGTAGAAATATTAACCCGTTGTTATTAATTTTCCTTGCCAATCCATTACTAAGTAAACGTAGTCTTAGCAGTGCAAAACTCCTCTCCCTTGTCATTCACCCCACGGTCATAGTGAAAACTCGTTTTTGGGACGGACGATCTTCCCTAGGTAGGTCGGGAAAGGGAAGGCGGATCCTCCCTCGCGGACAACTCGTTTTGGGACGGACGATCCTCCCTGAGTAGGACGGGAAGAGGGAAGGCGGATCCTCCCTGTAGGGTAATCGTTTCGGGAAGGCCGATCCTCCCTAGGCAGATCGGAAAAGGAGCGGCGTATCCCCCTAGTGAACAAATCGTTTTTGGACGGCCGATCCTCCCCAGTTAGTAAACTCGTTTGGGAAGGCCGATCCTCCCTAGGCAGATAGGAAGAAGGGCGGCGGATCCCCCTTATCGCACGTGAGTGATTTTCTGAGCCCCGAATTGTTCTGTCGGCTGCGGCCTCGCCCGAAGGTCCAGCCGGTGGAATTTTCCGTCCCCGTCAGACGAGGGACTATTTTCAGCCCAAGATCTTCTTATTGGCTGCAGCCTCGCCCGAAGGTCCAGCCGGTGGAATTTTCCGTCTCCGTCAGACGAGAGATTATTTTCAGCCCAAGATCTTCCTATCGGCTGCGGCCTCGCCCGAAGGTCCAGCCCGTGGGATTTTTGGGTCCGAAGAACCCCTTCAAGACAGTCTACAAAACCTCTGTTCGTCAAGCAGACGGACCTCTCCAGCTCAGTGTCTCAGTGACTTACAAATTTTCTTGTAAAGGACGCCGGAATACGACTGAGATTCATATCCCGGCTAGAAAACTCCCTTACAAGTGGCGCCCGAGCAGGGACACTGAGACTAGCTAGAGTGACAACAAAGTGGCGTAAAGACCCACTAAAGAATACAAACTGTCTTGCGAGGTGGATCGAAGAGTCCAACCAGCGCCCTGTACAGAGATTTACGAAGAAACGACCGAAGAATAACTACGTGAGACATGGTCGACCCAAAGGAGTCGGATGGCGAGTACGAAGCGAAGTGATGAAGAACCGGAGTGGGTGTACGGTGGATCTACGCCCGGCGCAAAGACGAGCTCGCGGCTCTAGCGCTGGAATTCGGGTTCAGTGCGGACGGCACGGTGGCAGATACGCAGAAGGCGTTCGCCACGTTGGTGAGCAAAGGATTGTTTCCTGAGACAGTGTGGAAACGACTCATGAAATTACAGGAATTTTATAGCTCTCTCGCTCCGAGTCCCAACAAACAGGGGAAAAGTGTAGGCATGGCACAAGGGGCCGAAACTTTTCCGGTTGGGCAAGCAGCGACCTTTGCCGGCGCTTCATCAGCTGAGAGTCGTACTACCTGACGTGGAGTTCATCCTAGTTTGGCGCTGGATACTCTGTTTCTGCCTCCCGAATCCAATGGCGGGATGGGTGCACCCACACAGGAGGCATCGTTAAGGGTCCCCCTTTCCCGACACTTGCTCCCAGAACGGATGCGCAAGTGGAATTAGAGGTTC